AGTCATGGGAAATTCAACTCTTGTTTAATTAAACTTAATTAAATTGCAATTCTCCATTGTATTGCATTGTAATTGAGTTTAATTAAACTCCAATTAAAACGCAACCCTATATAGGAACGCGTTTTAATCGAGTTCATATCGCAACTAAATTAAAAGTTAATTAAACTATATTAAAAGTTAATCCAATGAAGTCCTCGGAACATATAGCAATACAAGTATGTGTGTGTGTGTGTGTGATTTTCAGTGTTTTCACGTATGATTTCTTCTGTGATTTTTTTTGGCTTGGCCGATTTCTTTCAAACTTGGCAGGTAGATCACACCTTCACCCTAGTTATTAGGAAAAATCTGAAAATTTTTTTTGGCCCACCGTTGCCATAGCAACAACCAAAAAACTGATTTTTGAATAGCTTTGCACCAAATGTATCTCCTCCTACAAATTTGGGATAAAACACACAGACATATCTCATTCTACTTAGCTTGAGTGTGGGCAAAAAGTTACTATTTGAATTTTTGATATATTTTTTCATTACCGAGAAATGTGATCCCAAAGTTGGGGTAACGTTTCACCAGCAACGGCTTCTCCTCTGTGATTTTTTCGGCTCGGCTGATTTTGTTCATACTTCAAAGGTACCGGGGTAGGTCGTACCGTCACTAATTGGAAAAAAATCCTAGCCCACCACTGCCATTGCAACATCCAAAAACTGATTTTTGAATACTTTCGCCCCAAATGTATTACCTTCTACCAGTTTTGTAATAGCAGTGTTCAAATAACCATGCTTTTTATTTTGGCCATGTTGCCCACTGGTAGGAGATCACCGGCGCCGACATTGTTACACTGTATCAACGTAATCCCAATGCAACTTTGAATGACTGTAAATGCTACCTTCATTCTAGAAAATCCTATCGCAAAACGGTTGGAAATGATAAATGTAACAGCAGAATACGTCCAAGCACAGTCACTCTACTATTAGAGTCACTCTACTATTAGAGTGACTGTGGTCCTAGTAATAAACTAAGTGACTTCTAAAGACTGAATGATGTTTGCGAACTTCGTATATGGGCCCATTTAGTTATAAACCGACGTTAGCTTCACGTTTATGTCACACCATGGAAACAGCCAACAACATGTTGCTTGTTTTTGGAGCGGAGCGGATCGCCAACCAGTCATCCAGGTGTTTAAACCAAGGATAAGATAATCTAATATTTTGATATGACTGATATAAGCAGTTTTGATACATGTCAGAAATGGTGAAAACTGTAGTCAGTGTGAAACTTTTTACAAGAGTTTGCCTGATTGGCTAACCAATTCTAATCCCTAACGACCAGACCAATCAGAGATCAGCTTCTTGTTAAGTTTTTTTTCAATGTATGAAATTCTACCTTGCATATATGCTTCCACTACTTTGAAAACTAACCTTACCTTCATATGCTGAATTAAGACCTAATTGAACTTCATGTAAAATAGATATCAAAAGTGGAAAATTAGTTTCTTTTGACTGAAATGTGAAAAAAAAATCCAGATGGCTAATTTATGTACAAGAGAATTATAATTGTCACAGAAGTATCTGCCGTCTTGATTTTAATACATTGTATGCTAATCCTGTATCGCACTTCCAAGCGAGCTAGAAAACAAGCATGTACAGAACCCAAATAGTTTTCATGGGAGGGAAAAATGCCAAAATGGTATTCATTCATGATTGAAATTCAACCATTGCATATGATCTTCTCACTGTGGCCTTCAGAAGTAATAGATGTATTTTATCACCTACAGGTGGAATCAGCCTGGACCATATGTAAACTAAGTAGTACATTATCATGGTTTGATTCATTTTCATCTTTGTATGACGTCATAGTCAGCTGTTACACAAGAATTGTATGCTATCCTCTTTATAGACACTGGCATTTAGCAGAAGTGATACACGATGATACTATCAAAATATTCAAACTTGGTAAGTTATTTTTAACTTGTGTGTAGCCAGGTATAGATACGTGCAGTGACTATGGTTTCTGTTTTTCTGACATGTTGTATTCAAAACGACCACCCGGCAGCCTTATTTTTCCAAACATGTACTGATCAGACACATCATATTTTTCATATGGAGTGTCACCACAAGTCACCATGCCAACCAGAGCACCTTCAGCAAATTGGTCAGTTGATCATGTGACATAGTTGCTACATTTATTCCCATATTATTCACACCTTGCGTCGCTGTAAGAAGTTCAGCACTTAGCAGTCAACTAGTAAAAACGGCACTGTTTATAAACTTTGGGCTTTTTATGTACATGAACCTGAACATGCAATTTAAATATAGAACTGGCTTTAAATAAATTACCGGTACTAATGCAGTCATACAGTCATGTGACTGGAAATTTTGTGTGAATCTGCGTTACGTTGATGATAACTGACTTTAGAAATACTTGACTTGGTTGTTATGGAGTTATATCTCATTTTGTTACCATGATTTGTTTCATTTTTTACAAGATTCTACTTCAACTGATTTGGTCCAACATGGATGACAAATACCGGTAGTCATATTTGTTCAAAAAAAACTACTATTATAATGCCTGTAACAGCATTTTGGATATGTCAAAGTGAGCTCCATTGTCGAAGTGAGCTGATGGATTGACACTGTCTGTCCATCTGTCAAACTTTCTGTCAGTATAGTCAGATTTGGCTATTACATAAAAAATATTTACGTCATTTATGTAAAAAAAAATTTCCACACATAGTATATAGTTGATTACATTGATAATTAGGTAAATTTTTGTGTGAAAATGTTGTATTACCTGTGCTCTTCATGTGAGATCATTTATTAAACTACACATGTATTTTATTGCATAATACTACCGTAGTATGATTGTAAATTAAACAAGAAGTGGAATTTTGTTGTTGTACTGTTTTCAAATTTGCTGCTCAATCTTAATGGATTATGTACATGTCTTAATCCTTCTCCAAAATTTGTTCACATAAAACAAAATGAGAACAAATTTTTTTACGATGTTTAGAACGGGATAAAGATGCAAGAATAGAGGTATGTCTTATTTGATTTGATGACCAAACAACTTTGTTGGCTCTCTTTTTTAGGTAAAAGGAAACTTTTGAGTTGTTTGTTGGAAATACACAAGTTATTATCAAAGGATGATACAAAATATTTACTGAATGATTTGTACATAACTGATTATACTGTTTGGATTCAGTCGGCAAGTCATGACAAGATTGAATCACTGGCGAATGCATTAAAACAGGTATATCTAATCACTTGTGTTTGTAGATATTTGAGATACTGTACTAATTATCTGTTGATAACAATTCACATTCAGACTAAGTCTAAAAAAAGCAACTATCAACGTGGTTTCAGTGTATGCAAGTATGCGACTGGAACTACTTTTCATACATGCCTAGACCAATTTATTTCAAACTTGGTACAGTTATTAGATGATGTTATATGTCATGATTCAATCAAATATGGCCGTGTAAACTTTTAAATTTGGAGTTAATCATAATAGTTCAGTTTGTATGCAATCACTTATTGAGGATGACTAAGTCGATTTCTATCAAATTTAGTATACTACATACTGGGTTGTAGGTGTGCGTTGTTATTAGTCCCCGTTCGGACGAAGTCCGAAAACGGGGACTTATAATTCGGTCTCCGTCCGTCCGTGTGTCCGTGTGTCCGTATCTCAGAGTCCCATGGACCGATTCCGTTCATTCTTTGCATGTGCCTAGTACTTTATGTGGGACATATGCACATGCAGTGGTTTAGCGATTCGATTCAAAATGGCCGACTAGCAGCCATCTTGTTTTTTGAAAATGTTGTATTTTGGACATGCTTTGTCAGTTTTCATTCAAACTTGGTACATAGATTATACATGTTAGGATACATGTCCATGATTATTTATTGCACAATTGGATCAAAGATGGCCGACTGACAGCCATCTTGTTTTTTGAAAATGTCGTATTTTGGACATGCTTTGTCAGTTTTCATTCAAATTTAGTACATAGATCATACATGTTAGGATACATGTCCCCGACCGTCCGTGAGTTCCTGAGTCTGTCCGTCCGACCGTCCGTGTGTCCGTCTGTCCGTGCGTCAGTCTATCCAACGTCATATTTCAGAATCCTGTGGACCGATTCCGTTCATTCTTTGCATGTGCCTAGTACCTTATGTGGGACATATGCACATGCAGTGGTTTAGCGATTCGATTCAAAATGGCCGACTGACAGCCATCTTGTTTTTTGAAAATGTTGTATTTTGGACATGCTTTGTCAGTTTTCATTCAAACTTGGTACATAGATTATACATGTTAGGATACATGTCCATGATGATTTATTTCACAATTGGATCAAAGATGGCTGACTGGCAGCCATCTTGTTTTTTGAAAATGTCGTATTTTGGACATGCTTTGTCAGTTTTCA